AGTTTCCGTAGTAATCGTTTGCTGCAAATGCTGAAATCCCGTGGTGTACAAACAATCAAATATTTAGTACCATTTCGGATATCCAAGTAATTAAACGTTCAAATACTGTTTAGATGTTCAGATAATTAAATATTTAAGTAGTCGAATACTTTATAGTATTTCAAAAAATTCAAACAATTGAATACTCAGCATTACTTCAAATGTTCAAGTTAAATACTTGCTATTACTTTAAATATTCAAGTAAACAAATAATGTCATCTCAAATTTTTTTTGTAACTAAGCACCAAATACAGTGAAGTGTAACTTTACTGTACTGGTTATTTGCTTTGTGAATAAAAATGGGAAGGGCTAGAAAAAATTCTTAAACAAATTCTGTGAATTAAATTTTCAATTTAATACACATTAGAAAGAAGCAAAAGTGGCAATGAATAAGCCGTATTTTGATATTATTTGTCTTTTTTTTTTTCACCTAAAACCTAAAATTGATGATAGATAAAGGGAATAGATGACGATCGATTTTACCAAGATATAAAATCAATTAGTTTGTAACTGTTTGCTATCTTCATGTGTTACAGTATTGATCAGTATATGGTGTTTCAGTTGAATCCGTTGAAAAAATGAAAATTTTCCTAAACTTGAAATTGTAGAATTATTGAATTTGCTCAAGAAATTAGCTAAGAATTCAAACTGAAATTCTTAGCTAATTCAAAAAACTTAGAAATTCTTTTTTTCAAACTTAGAAATTCTTAGCTAGGAATTGAAAATATTTCGCTTCTTCTTCTTCTTCTCTTTCTTCAGGAACCTATCAAAACAAAATGATTGTAATAATTAGAAAGATTTGTAAAATTAGGAATGAATGAAAAGAGTAAGAAGAATTGCGAGAAGAGATGGATTTGGATTAGAATTTGGTACGATGATAAGTATTAAAATGTCATAGCAACCTGTGTCTCATTTTCACTCATTAAGCAAAACACAATCCACATCTCTCATCCATCCATCTCTTTCCATTTCATTCTCTCTCGTTGATGCCCAGGTATATGTGACTAATTAACCATCGTCTACAATTTAGCTCATTAATCAAGCTAATGGTGTTATTACTCTCTGCTAGATATTATAAATAAATTCAAAACTACTCAATATTTCTAGCAATCATACGACTTGTCCATCTCTCATTAAGCAGCAATATTTGATAATAATCAAATTACATATCATTAGTGGTTGTTTATTATCATGTAACAATATCGCATGGTAATATATTCATTGACAATTAAATCTTTGTTAATATTATCTAAAGTTTTATAATTTCAAAAGATAAAAATCGCTTTTTTAAGCATTTTTTTTAAAATTGACTGATTAATTAATCTTACAAATAACAAACAAAAACTTTTGAGATTAGAAATTCAGCGTACGCTGCAAGAAATATAAAATATCAAAAATTTAAGTTCATTCAGAATTTCCAAAAATCTTGCAATACACATCGCTGCTTATCTTTTTGCTTGTTTATCAGATAATCACTTAGTGATATTATCAGGATGAAAATGGAAACAGAATCATGTTACACTCATACCTGAACTCGACGTTGACTTCTCAATTTCCTGACAATTATTCCTTTTTTTTTCTCCTGTATAATCATCTTATTTCCAAAATTAGTATATTTGATATACGGCGATGTAACAAGAAGGTTGCAAATAATCGATTATAAAGTTTGCAAAAAGAAAACAAAAATTGCTAGCTGAACCTTTTACTTCAATAGTTTTGAATACCTGGATGAATGTGTAATTGGAAAAGATTAAAAACAGCAATAACCAAAATCGGAAGTTCATGAAGCTATGATATGTTATCTCGAAGAAGCAGGATGATATTGAGGAAAATTTCGAGTAACTTTTCAAAATGAAAATTGGAAACAAAATAAAAAAAAATTCTTGAAAATGTTACCATTTAAATGTTCTTTGCCTTTTTCCTCCTCAAATTATTTGATATTTTTTAATAAACAATTGGCGAAATTATTAATTATTAATTTCTCTGAAATAGAAACAAAAAAAATGGTTAAGCAATAAATAACAATGGTACATTTGGTACCAAAGTTTTCATTTTATCCTGAAATCATCATATCTATCCTGAAGATATGTACGATATGATGAAAAGAAAGGAGCAAAAAGTGGATATTGAAAAGAATAAAATTAAGAGCAATTACATTGTTCATGTTAAAAACGTGACAACTGAAACTGAACCATAACTCTTTTGCATATAATGAAGAAGACTAATTTAGTAAAATTTAATTATATCTAACTGTTACCATAGCTATTTGTTATGTTAGAAATGGCAGAAGATGAAAATGAAGATGTATTTTGAAATAAATTGAAATTTATTCTCTTCTCAAAAAGTATTTGACATAGTTTTATAGAGAAGAAATGTAATTTTAAGAAAGAAAGATCAAGTACTTTTAATGAAAGGACAAATGTTCCGCATTTTCTTTCGAATGTTTTTCTAGTTGATACTGGAAGCCATTCTTTCCAAATTTTTAGAGAATCAAAAATTTTTCCTGTCCAATCTTACACTTTTCCATGAATACTTTTGATGATTGGATTGCATAATGTAATCCTTTCATCTTTTATTTTCTACAAATTTTTGAAAAAAAAAAAAATTAACATCAGAAATTTCGATTCACTCCTATTACTTATTGAATTTATTGCTTCAAAATATTTCATCTATGACTAAATTACACTGTTTTTGTAATACAAAAATGGTATCATTAAGTAGACTAACCTAGCTATATTAATGTGACAAGAAAAAGATACTATACATGTTTGAACCAGCGAAATTAGCATATTTTGCATTTTATAAAAATATTACATGACATACCAAAGTTAG